TTTCCCAATTCTTTTAGGAGTATCAGCTATTTCAGGGGAACTTTGATTTTTCTCTAGGGTAGTCACATGGCTCCTTTGAAGCCGTAATAGGTACACAGTGAAGAGGTCTTCAGCAAAGGAAATCGGGCCACAAAATGAATATGCACACAATTTGGGATGCCAACATCTTCATCGTTAACAGTGTTGCCAAACACAAGGGTGTCCAGCCTTGCTGCATACATTTTCCAAATGTTCCAGCTAGGCAGCTACTCGGCACATTCCCTTCCAACACAGAATAGTCGGTAAGCAAGTTAACGTTTGGCCTCTTGCCTTTCCCCCACACAAAGAGCTTTGTATGTCATGTGTGAAAGCTTTAAAATATGAATCAAAATAAGATTATTTTTCACCCTGGATGGTAGGTGACAACATGCAACTTTTTATGTTTTCTTTCCTTTCCATTTTTAGTCTTCCTTTTTAGGTCTTCATGCTAAAAGAAAGATACAATGCAACACATTTTTGGAAGACTAAGCATGCATTTACTCTGCCAGGTCCTATCTACTGCATCCTTCAGCATGTTCCAAGGAAAGCATGCAAAGTATTTTAACTCTGCTGTACGCCACATAACTCGGCTTCTGAACTGCTTAGAGTGACTAGTACTACTACAGAGGGAGCAAAGCCTATATATTTTTAATTATTTTGATAAGCCAGTGACGGTGTCATTGATGTAATTTATTGTATCTGGTTTCAAGCTGTGATTGCTTCAGGGTGGTGTATCATTAGGATTTTCAATGTTTCTTCAGGTAGGAAAGATTCCCAGCAAGCTTGCTTTTATACTGATGAAAGAGGACTGTTGGAGTGACTCGCTACTCCTTCCAAGAACAGAAAGTTTCGCTTGTATAAAATGGATGATGTTTCTTAGTTAAAACATCCTGTGTCATTTATTGATGAAAAAATAGTTGAAAAATGAAGACTGTGCAAACGAGCAAGTGGGTATTCTGTGGACTTAAAGCATTACTTACAGGTTATAGCATTTTCACAAACTTTGTGTGGCTTCCCCAACACTGAATGCTCTTCTGGCCTGGAGCAACACTGTGTTCACAATAATGTGCTCACTCTTTCTTTGCCCTTTTTATGTCATATTATTGATTCAATTTGAATTTTTAAAATATACCTTAGAAATGTGGAGATAAGGGAACATTACATTTTTCCAAAGCAGAGATATTTTAAGAGAAAACATTTACTATTTATACTCTTGAGAAGTCAAGAGGAAAGATGATCTGCTGTTGTCTTCTGCTTTGCTGTTCCCTTAACGATGATATACCTATGCTATCCATCTGCTTATTTCCCTGCATTTGCTGATTATTTATAGACTATTCTAAAACTGGTAGGAGTGATGGAACGGCTGTCTTTATCCCTTGAACTGCAAGTTTCCATGCCATTATTTGGGGTATTTTTGTTAGTGTGTTGGGAAAAAATACAATCCAGTTACTTATGATAAAAGCTACTTTATTTGGTTGTTTAGATCATCACTCTAGAATCTACCTTTAAGAAAGACTTCTTTTACAGTGGAGAACTGAAGGGAGAAAGCAATTTTATTTCACAAATATGTAGGTAATTTTACGACGTTAAAAATATTCATACAAAGAAAAAGTAAGTGCAAGTATTAATTTAGTATATAAGAACAAAATTAAGTCCAGTGTTTAGACAACTCCTGGAGGCAATTTGTAGATAGAAATGAAGTCCCTATTGGAAAAATCTCTCAGCAACACCTTTTTTTGTAATAAACCTTTGATTAGTATTTTTTTATTTCTCTTTCAAGAAACTTGCAGTGGTTTGATGGTGAACATTTTGTGAGGCATATTGACTAGCCTTTGACCACATGCATTCTCAGGGAGTTTTATAGTGTATTTCCTGAGGGTAGCCATTGCTGAATCATTTAATTTAACATAACTGCTCTTGGGATGAATCTGTTCATGCGGTTAATATCTCCGTATTAACGTTATGGGATGCCTGTAAAAGTATCCTTTTCAGATTTCTAGATACCTTTTTAATTTGCCAGCTCAGGTAGGACTTAGAAGCATACCTCTTCCTGTTAGCATTTCATGTCATTTTGCTTTCCAGTGCATTCCTTGTTGTTGCAATGGGTTTTAAGTCCCTGGGACTGCTGGATGTGAAGGGTAATAGACAACGGCTTGACATATAAGTGGCAACAAGTAAGAACGGAATACACCAGGAATTGTTACTGAGACCCATATTGTTCAATATCTTCATCGACATATGGACAAGAATGTGAGCAAAGATACATCAAGATAGCAAATTAAAAGTGAACGGCACCTGGTTGAAAGAGCTTCAGTCCAGACAGGTCTTGAAAACCTTGAGAACTGAACCCAGAGAAAATTCACTGAGTTTCTGCATCTGGGACAATGCAACCCCAATGCATCAGTACAGACTGGGTACCAACTGTCTGGGTAGCAGCACTTCTGGGAAGAACCAACAGTTTGGTCTCATAATTTTAAAGCAAAACTCACAGTTTTGCACAGATGTGGCTGGCAGACTGAAGGAATTTTTCATGTGCTTCTACTTGATGCTGTTGAGCCAAATCTGGAACACTTAATCCATTTTTGAATTTTTCAGTTCCATGTTTTCAAGATTTAGCTAGAGAAAGCCATAGCTGACTTCATCTGGTGTTGGCAATAGTCCTCTTTTGAGGTGAAGGTTGGGCCTAGAGACTTCTAGAGGGAGGGTTGTTGGAGAGGGATGTCAAACAACAGTTCTGCGAACCTGCACATTTCCATGTAGGATCTCAATAAAATTCCGTCATAGAGAAGCTCATTCTGTTTGATTACGTACCTAAAGTTAAATTATTTCAATATTACCTGGAAAACCCAACTAGTAATTTCTGGCTGGCAAACAAAGACACAAATGACTGAAGAATTTAAACCGTATTGCGTGAAAAGTTAGCATTTTAAATTTTTTGAAGAAGTTATCTCTTAATCCAAATTAGTTGTCTTTGTAAAACATATAGTAATATTACACAAGAAATTCTGGGTCTGCCATTTCTAAAATGTATTATGTGAGAAGTGTCCTGTGCTATGCAGAAGTTCAGATTAGGTGATCCTGGTGGTGCCTTCTGTCTTTGAAAGTACATCTGAATTAATTCAGAGGCAAACCAGATCTCTGTTACGATTATGTTTGGTCAGGGCTGAAGTTATGGCATGTATTGTGAAAATTATTTTTAAAGGATACGAAATCAATCTAGACTTACTTAATGTCTTGATGGAATAGATTGACTGAACATTTTTACTTATCTGTTATGGCAGCCCCACAAAATGCAGGCAAGATGCCAGTAGCATGCGTAGAACTGAAAAATGCTGAAGTAGAACATTTTCTTTCCTGATGACTAAAAGTCCAAATACAGTAGAAATTATTAACTGGACATACAAGAAAAGAAAGAAGGAATTTCCAGGTATGTTCCTGGGCAATTAGAAGTTCAGTTCACAATTAAATTGAACACGTTGATTGTCAGCAAGATCTAATAATTGATGAATTGGACTGTCATATGGAAGAGTGACCTAAAAGGCAGAGAACAGAGGAAAGAAACGGTGTGTTTGAAGTACTGTTTTGGGGGTTATTTTTCCTTCTATGAGAAACTGCCAAGACCAAATGCTGAGTGTATACTCTGCCTCCAAATACTCTTATCAAAGCCCTTTTGTTTTCCATTAAATCTGATTAAAGAACTCTGCAATTTCAATTTCATCAGATGTAAAAGTGCTCAGGGATTCAAAATTTGTTTGTATGTGTGTGTTTTTTGCTTTTGTCTTTAATGTCTTTATTCACTGTGAATGGTTTGGACTCACTGCAGAAGTAAAGTCACTCCTGATAGACTTTTGTATCCTTAGTTACAGTTCTCTTCTTACCAGGTGTAATTATTTATTCATTGAGTTACTGTGTGGAAGATAGTTATATTCCTTCCCTTGGTGTTTAAGATGATCTAATTTCCTTGTTTGAGAGACTTGAGTAAACAATCTGTTTTTGAAGAGGATAATTGTTCTCTTTAACCTAACTACTGCTTTCTGTCTGCAATATGTGAAGGATTTAACCTCTTCTAGAGACCAGATCCCTGCCTTGTGAAGATCAACCTTGCTCCGTTGAAGCAAACAAAGCTCAAACACATGCTCACACCTAACCTTGAAGCACAATTCAGTTATGACACAGTATATACATGGAGGGGAGGTTGTGCGTTTATGGCTTCGTACTGGGACTTTTTTGAGATACAATCTTTTGGTTTACACTGGACTTGGTGTGAAACACAATCTTAAATCCAGTAGTGAACATTTTAAGCCATTTTTATTGAGTCGAATCTAATTCAACCTAATTTCCTTTTTTATCCTTTAGGTGTTCAGCAGTATAAAAAATTAAGAAAAGTTTAACAGTGGGGGAAAAAAAAAAGATAAACAGACATATTTACCACTTAATTATTACAGTATAATGAACATCTGTGTGGGAAGGGATACTTCAGTGCTCCCTTCTGTCTGGTACATCCTCAATGTAATGGAATTTATTCTTTTCACTACTGCTAACGCTCCCATTTTAAAAGCACCTGGGTTCAGTTCTGCTCACTGCAGAACACGCTGGCCTCAGTCCAGGAGAATGTTTTACTTGCCTGGTCATCTCTAAACGTGTAGGCAGACTACTCACGTGCTCGAGTTTCAGTGTGCACCTCAGTCAGGGCAAGAGTGCTCAGCGCCTTTCCGAACTCAGCCCTCAGCACTGTCATAGGTGAGCAGTGTGCGAGCGGATTTTTAAAATAAGAATAGACACGCTTCTCTGGGAATATTAAGTCACGAGACTAATGACCAATCTGTGGTTTATATTTCTGCATCTTAACTTGTTCAGTGCATGTTTAATTTGGCAGGGTTACTTGAAGGTTGTGGCAGGGGTGCTTTGCTGCTATAATTTCTGTTGTAGATTGAAATTCTTGTTGGAATAAGGTACATCATGTACTTCCACTCTTTTGTCAGAGAGCAGAAAGACAAACACGAATGATGGACTCGGCCCAGTATGCAGAGTTTTGTGAAAGTCGGCAATTGAGTTTTTGTAAGTATTATAATGGCTGTCCTGTGTTAAGATGTTCAATTATTATTTCATTTAATAGAGAGCACAGCAGAACCTCATGTTTTAAAAGCAGCTTTGTTTCATCTACAGTAATAAAACTTCAAATTCTTTGTCTGCATAACTCCTGGGAACAGTTAATTTAGCATAGTTTCAGGCCGTCAGGCAGCGTATTTTATTTGAATATTTACCAAATTCTCTATATGCTCAAATACTGTGCTGGTGGGGATGACTGCAAAGGCAGAACTGGTGAAGAGTTAATGGGTTAACACCCATACTTGCCTGATGTCTGTCATGGTGGTGTTACAGTCAGCATACGAGTAAAGTTTCATGGTTACAGGTTTTTTGGAATGCATCTAAAATTAGAGAAGAGCAGTAAGTTTTGCTTTTATTTCCCTATCCTTAGAGACACAAAGAACTTACTAAAGAGTCTTTTCTATTTTAAGCTGTGAGCTCCTGCTGTGGAATTTATTCAGCATTAGCCAAATTCATCAGAATACGCCATTCCAACACTAATAACATGATGACAGAATTAGGGCTTTACTAGCACTGAAAACCAGCTTACTAGAAGTACTTGTGGGCCACAGCTATAATGAGCTGTAAATTAATGGGCTTGATCATGTAGCAAAACATCATTACAGAAGCGGTTAAATGATGACTAAGTTTTTAGGTTAAATGTCAGAGAAAGTGAGGTGAAGGAGTCAGTAAAAATTATGACAAAACAGCACATGATCCTACAACACAGACTTGAACACAATGGTGTCTTTAAATGAGAGACCTTATCTTGGTCTCTATTCTTTTTATCTCTATTCCTTTTAAATTCGAAGAAAGAGTGACTCATTTATGGCAAATAAATGACACATTTGAAATACTGTTCTGTATCAGCGAATGTCAGCAAATGTAGGAAAACATGTTTTGTAAGCATTTCTCTTCCTAATTCAGTATGTTTTTTAAGCTTATTTATAATTTGGCATCACACATCTGTGAGCCATTAGATAAATGATACTTCAGATTAGGGTGACTTCAGCAAATGAGAGGTTTGTGATAAAGTCATTTTTTAAACCCCAAAATTATCATCTGGAGACAGAACAAATAGAAATCTTAAAATTGCGAAATAAAAATGAATGTTGCTGACCAGGGAATTGTGATCTATAAAAATATCTCAGTGGTATTTTCACAGTGTTTTTAAATGACCACGTCTATACAGTTCTTTTTCACTGACATTTGATGTAGAAAGTAAGAATAAGAGAACTACAGTGCTTAGAAAATAATACCGAGACAGACTCATGCACAAATTCTGTTGCATAATATGAACTCAACTAGGTAGAACATACTAAAGGCCATGCAGAATATTTGTTCAAAACTAATGCATGGGCTATTTTTTACCTTATGTTTTAATAAAAATTGAATATATTACTATGTTTAAAGCAGTAAACTCTTTTTTACTGTCATATAAACCCATGAAAAATGTGTCACAAGAGAATAAACCTGGAAGAGACTTCAAGAAACCTGTTTAAACAATATATATTCATAATTACAGCTCCACATTTTTCTGTGCAGTTTTAAAGACTTCATCAAAAGATCAGGTACTGCAGGATTACAAATGTAAATTCTAGGGAACATTTTGTTGTCACCTTCAAACTTTTTCTCTTGCTTTTTTAATTTTATTTTTGTCTTCAGCAATCCTGTGCAGTTTTTTCATTCCCTACAAAATAACCCTTATTTCCACCTGGTTTCTATTTAATACTGGACTTCTCTTTAGCTTTTTAGTCCTTGTTGAAGAACTCTTTGAAAGAGCTCTTTCAAATTATTCTCCCGCTTTGTATTTACTTTGTTTTGGTTGTCCTATCTTCACAAACAACCCTCATTAAGAACTCTGTATTACTAGCTCCTTTCTGTCCAAGTCTCTACAGCTGTCTGTGATCACCTTGTCCAACACGGACCTAAGTAAGATGATCCTTTTTTTCCTCCTTTTACTCTATCAGCAAATAATCATGTTTCTTTGTCCCATATTTTTCCCTGTACTTTCTCTGAAGTGATCTCATCCATTAGCAGTGTGAAATTCTCATATGAATGTTGATCATTTGCAGATCTACATCTATCCTTATTTCTTTACATTCAAAGCACATTTTAAAAGCACTCATCTACAAATCATGTTGGCTGGCTTGTCAGCACCTGGTCCCTGTGTGGTTAACACAAGGACTTCCCAGTTCTGTCCTCCTTCATTTGTCTTCACTATTGTTAATACAGTTCTGTCATTTTATCTAGACTCAGATTTGTGTTGATTCCTTCTAGTGCTTACTCTTACTCCTCAAAGGTGTGATGCAATCGTATTATTTCTTTTACAATAACATCTTCAAAATCAGGTTTGTCCTGTCTATGGTCCTCTGAGGTATACCCTTCCTTTTTCTGAAAACTGTCTGATTACTTAACTATGTGTTTTTCTCTACTTCATGCTGCTTATGGGTCTCCAAAATGTTGTGTATGAAATAACAGTCTTTTCACCACAGATTCCACTTTACTAATTCCTTCCTTGGCCAATCAAATCCCATTCACACTCCATGTTTCACATTTGCAGTATTTTCTGACTGGGATAAAGGCATTATTTTGGCCTACCTGCTGTTAACTTTTCCTTTTCCCTTCATGATTTTAACCAACAGCAAAGAAAGCGTCCAAGTTTCGTGACTGGTTGGATTGTAGCAGTATGGAAATAAAGCCAAATGCAGTTGCAATGGAGATTTTGGCATACTTAGCGTATGAGACTGTGGCACAGGTAAGGGAGTATGCTGACTGAACTCTTGTTAAAATGATTAATTACTCTTGGACGTACTTCAGCCTAAGGTGGCTGTGTTGTAAGCCCCTTCAAAAGCATGCAGTCACTACTTAGAATCATAGAATGGTTTGGGTTGGAAGGGACCTTAAAGATCATCTAGTTCCAACCCCCCTGCCATGGGCAGGGACACCTTCCACTAGACCAGGTTGCTCCAAGCCTCATCCAGCCTGGCCTTGAACACTTCCAGGGATGGGGCATCCACAGCTTCTCTGGACAACCTGTCCCAGTGCCTCCCCACCCTCTCCAGGAAGAACTTCTTCCTGATATCTAATCTAAACCTCCCCACTTTCAGTTTAAACCCGTTACCCCTTGTCCTGTCACTGCAGGCCCTTGTAAACAGTTCCCCCCAGCTTCCTTGTAGCCCCTTCACCTACCCAAGCTAACTGTATTCCTGTCTGTCTTTCAATTTACTGTGTGACAGATGGGTACTAGACCGTATTCATCCATCTGATACACAAACAGAAATGGTTTATAATGGTTGCAGAGGAGAGTGGCGTCCAGCACGAACTTTATTCAAGTCCAAACTAAAACCACATACTTCGCTATGTGACCTTTGGCAGCGCGCTGAGGCTCATTCAACCCCATTGCACAATTGGATTAAAAAGCAGGATTTCCTGGAAAACAAAACGTTACCTTAGTGCCAAGCCGAGCCCTCTTGGGTAGATAGATTTCTCCATATATTTACAGAAGTGGAAAAGAAAGGTTCCTTAGGCTGAAATATCTCTGAATAATTTTCTTTTCAACTGAGAAACAATAAGAATAACCTGCCTCAACCCACAGCTCCTCTCTCTCTTCAGTGTTACGATGGCATTTGTAGTAAGTGCCGTGTCAGTAAACCTACCTCTTTATCGGCTGTTTTTGCCCCTCCAGTTGGTGGACTTGGCTCTTTTGGTTAAGCAGGACATGACTCCCAAAGCTGGTGACCCGTTCAGTCATGCCATATCCGCCACCTTCATACAGTACCACAACTCTACGGAGGTAAATCTTGCTTTTTCACGTATTACTCAATTTTATATTTTACTTTTACATGTATTTGGTAGTTTGTTGCTTTCAAAGCGCATGCTATTGAATCTAGTATTGATATATCAGATTGATAAAGATAACTGCTGTTACGCTGTTTATGAACACTGAAGTTATGGATTTAGATGGAAAACACCATTATAGCTCCAAATGTTACATTCTTAGCAGCGTAGAGAAATGGAAATCCTCTTTTCTGGGGTGGGAATTCCTTCTGTCTGTGTTGAAGGCTCTCTCTGTTTCAGATTTGGAGATTAAAGTTGTCAGCAGTGGCAAGTGCAGTAAGTGCTGTTTTGCATGCATTGCTGTGGCCTCTAGAACGAGCAAATTTAATTTTGTATTGCACCTCTGCTAACAGTAAATCTAAGTAGGCAATAAAATTCTTTTGTGATTTGACTATCTAATGGCTGTTTGACACCTTGCTTTTATAGCCACACCTCTTAGGGCAATCTGCAAGTGTGAAGACCAGTCTTGACTCTCCTGAAAACACACCACCTCCTACACCCACACCCCCAGCATCAGCAGGACAGCAACATCTTGGGAAAACCCCATCAGGAGCCCTGGGGAATGGTGGAATTGGACAGGACTCTACCAAATCCAAACAAAGGAAAAGAAAAAAGGTATCTGGTGCACAAGACTGAAAAAAAAAAAGAAAAAAGAAAAATAAACCAAAACATCTTCAGGAAATAATGTGTCTCATTTTAAATATTAATTTTAACCTATATCACATGTTAATTACCAATGTTATTGTAGGGCTAAATGTTTGGTTTGGTGTTCTTTCTATCAGAACTAGGCTAAAGCTACTCAGTAATGCCTGCAAACTGAATTTTGTTGAGGTAAAAACTGCTCCTTCTATGAGCAGTTCCTCTACAGCTGCAGCAGTAGACACCATCCCAAATAATCATCCCCTTTTCTGACAGTGACAGCTAGCGTAGGTTTTGAGGGTCAGAGCACAAACAAAGGAGGCAAAGAGTTGGTTGTGATTTTCCTGGTCTCAGCAGCCTTAGGCAATGGCTTTCTTTGCCTATAACAACTTTGCCTGACCTTTTTATGCCAGTTGGTTGCATTCAATCTACATATTGGTTTACTTTGCATAAAATATGGATTTCTCATATTCAGAGTGTGAAATGTAAATATTGCAATTCCTGTTTTCTGTTGTTGAGCCTTTGTATTCTATCTGAGAGGAATATATGTACCTTAAAACCACGAGGGAAATAGATTTGATTAAGTAACCTGGCTAGGAAGCACGGTGTTAGTCACTTAGGCCTTGCAGTACTCATTTTGCTGCAAAGCAGCAGTGAGTGACTTGTGATTTTCTCATCCGTGTTGTTTTCCTACCACCTATTTTTCATAGAGTTCCACTAGCGATTTTTACAGTGACAGATATAAAAAGTTGTGTTTTCTCCTTGCAGTGTCATCAGTGCTGTAGGTACTCCTAATGCGTTCAACTTCTTCTCTGCCCTTACTATGCTCCACTTAGAAAGCCTTTAGGGAATCCTGTGAAGTCTCTGGAGACTTCTGCTTTTTCCTCTTCCTTTTATATTACATTTGCTTATGTTTTGTTTCTGTGGCTAATTTCCATTAGAAATCCTAGGAACAAGAATTTACCTGGAGATGTAGGTTTTGGTACATTGTATTTCACTGGTGTTGTGATTTTATTTTCAATTCTTAAATTCTTAATATTTGACTTAATGCCTTTTGAAATAATTATATTCTACAATGTTTTAATTAAATGTTTGCCTGACATCCAGTTTGGTTGGGTATAGACTGGCTATAACTGAGTCATTGAGACAAACGAGTTAACTTGTGAAGGATGTTATTCTTAGTCCTGGAAGGCCCAGTCCAGCTGAAAATATTTGAGTTTCATATTCCCTTTATGAACGTCAATCAGCGAGGGAAGAATCTGCCATCATATTATGAATAATTCCCTGTGTACACACACAGGCTCCAGTGGACTCAGCACTGTTGAAAATAAAACATTTTGTAAAAAATATCCCAAGTTTGAAAGCATTAGTATATAGTGTGAATGCATGAGGCGTCAGGTCTGTGTGTACATTAAATTTCAGTGCATAATTTAAGGTTTTGTCATCCTTAGTACATTCGTTAATACCGTTTTCATGAATTTATGACCAAGCAGTCATCATTCTGATAAGTCATCTGCGTTCTGGCAGGCAGCTGTGTCTAGATGGAGCCTAAGCCAACATTTCAGTTTGACTAGCAAGGAGAAAAAGTAACTTTTTCGTTTAAAATCCTGGGACTATTTCTAGTAAAATCAACAGACCAGTAGCAGTGATTTCTTAGTTTTCCTATTTAGGGTTCTTAACCCAAAAAAGCATTTGAAATTTGAAAATTTTCCAGTTTGAGGTAATTAAAACATTTTTGCATCCCTCTAATACCATTATGTCATATGTTTCATCTTCACATTTCAATCTGATATTACTCAATGGTGATTTTGGTGTCAAATTGCCTTCCACTTTGGGTACTTGTTAAATATTTTCCCCACCCCTTGACATCATAATGAGAGCCTGAAACATTTTAAAAATAGTTACTGTAGTTATTGCAGTATAACTTGTATGACCCTTTCATTTTAGTTTGAACATTTTCTGCTCTTTTCAATTGCACCATACAGCAGCACTAGGTGAAAGATTTAAGAGGACAAATATGGTGTTCTTTGGGTCTCTTAAGCAAAGTTCATGTAAAAGTCCTTTTTGATTTGTTAATAGCTTTTTTTCTCTAATGTAGTCTGTGGCAGCAATGATGTGTATCCTCAGGAAAAAAAAATGGTCCATTTTATAAAGGTTTATTTTCATACTTTATGCACTGTAGGTCTGTTGTGTGTTTTTGATTTAGTAACAATTTATGTGTTTTTCTGTTGCAGAGCACTGCAGCCTGTGGTATAGAGGCTCAAAGTGATGCCATCCAGCCCAGCCACATCAGAGAGGCCATTCGACGCTACGGCCACAAGATTGGCCCCCTTTCCCCATTCACAGTACGTAATAACAGAGTTATAAAAAGTTATATTTATAATCTTAAAGAACTTTGATTTTCAAGTGGTCAAATGAAGAAGCTTTGGAATTGTTGAGAGCAATTTGTGGTGACTGTAATTTTCTTTATAAAAGTGGCATAATTCTCTTGGGAAATAAAACTTAGTAATTTCTGTCCCTTTTTGGAAAGACAAAAAAGTTTTTTTTTTCTTTTAAATATTATTTTCTTTCAATTACAAATCATGCTTTTTTGTTAGTGCTTGAATTTTCTGTTTTTGCAAAGTTTAGGTTTACAGTTATTTTAAATTATATGTATTCCAATATGGTGAGGAGCACTTTATATTCTAAAATTAGTTGTGTGTCAGATACTGCTCCTCTTGGAAGCTGAACTCTCAAGTGACACATTTATGGTTGGAGAAAGAAGAGAATGGTTTCTATAGACAACTTTGAACCTCCACTAAAATGTAATAGAACTGAGCTTGTGGTAAAACACTGATGGGTTATGAGGTTTCGCCATCATTTTTCCTATGCAAATTGCAAAGCCATTGTTCAGAGCAGCCAAACGAATTCTTTATTTAATTTTCTCAGCTGATAAAAATGTGAAAGTAGTCTGTCTCCAGTGTCATAAATGGGGGTCATTTTCTTCTGATCTGCTGTTTTATGTGGCATATATCCTTGCTTGCAAAATATCTACATTTAGAAAAGAGTGAATGTCAAAGAAATCATTATAGCGTAAAGAAAACAAAAACCCCAAAACCAGCTCCTAAAAATCAGGACAAAATTGTCCATTTTGGAGGGATTGTAGGAAAGGAAAATTATTCCGAATTTGGAGGAAATTAATCTACTCCAAAATAGAGAATTGTCTTTAGAAGAAGTATTCTAAGAGCTGTGGCTAATAACACTAAGGCAGTAAGGCTGTGGCTAAGGCAGTAGCTTCTGAAACGAGAGAATGTGTTTAATTGTATTATAAAGAAGTAAAGAGCTCACATGAGTGATTAGAGAGAGGTAAGTCTTCCTTCCCTGACCCTCACTAAAGATGGTTTGGTTAATTATTAACTGAAGTTTGAAGTTTCTTGGCAACCACAAGATAGAATAAAATACTCTGGGTTTATTTTTTAAATTTTTCTTTTTTTTTTTTTTTTATGTCCTGCAATCCTGTGAACTTTCCAAACATACAACTAACTGAAACATTTAATTTGTTGACATTACCTACTGCCAGTGTGGTTGTTGAGATGAGCAGATCTTTTTCCCTCTAAACAAGCCAAGAAAGAGAAAGGTAATCTTGGGTCATCTTCTTGAGGCATACAGATGTTGTAGAGCTGTAACACGATTCTTTTTTAAATGAGAAAGGTCAGGAAAAGCATTTTGAGAGATATTACAGAGAATGATGCATTTAGGTCTGCCAATCTGCCCACTTTTCCTGACAGTGCCCTTATTGTCAAGTTTGGGGATGAACACTGCTATGAGTCGTCCAAAAGAAAGTACACCAAACTTCTTGTAACTTCCTTACAGATGCAGAAAGTGTGTAGGTAGATTGATACTTTCTTCAACCCAAGCTTTTCATATTGCCAGACTCTCATACTGTTGTATTAAAAGTACTCTCTCTAAGCATTTTGAACAGTACTGCGCCAACACTTCTTGTGAATAACTTTGCTTTCTCTTCTGCCCTTTCCTTCACAATAGTTTCTTTGTGTATCTGCATGACCTCCTGCACAGGATGACAAAACCAGGAGGAAAGGTGGCTTTGCTCAATGTGCTTCTTATGATTCTGTAGTGACACTTAAAAAACGGCAGAGATAGAAATACTGAATGTGTATCTCTCATTATATTCAGTGAAGTCATGTTTTCAGCCGTTTCCACCCTTAAAACTAACCTAAAGGTCATGTAGAGAACTTTGGAATATACATTTGCACATCGTCTCTTCTATTTCTCTTAAGGCTGTTGACCATTCTTCTACATCAGATGTGATTTATAGTCCATAGGTGCGCTCGCAGAGTCTGCTGTAGGACAGGAGGAAGGATTTTTCTGCATGTCCAGATGTTTTAACGCTGTTTTCTGATGGCAGTTTGCCATTCATGTTAGCAGTCGTACCACAGAAGTGTGGAAAGCAATGTGTATAGGTCACTGAGGAAAAAAACATTTTTGCAAGCTACATAACATGTTCAGTCCCTAAAATGTATAGATTAGGCTGAACTTTAAGAAAAAGAGATAGTTCTACATCCTTACAAGAAGAAGAAAAAACTGCAAGAGTGTTAATGCCAAAATGCTATAGTGTAAGTTTATGGTACTTGTACAGGAAGAATGGAGAGTCAATCCTAAAAACCTATCTGTGCACTTGTCTATCCCAAATAACATGGCATCTATCAGGAGCACACAGGAAATCTCACACTGGGAATAACAAGCAAAATACATTATCCAAAGTATTCAACGACAGTTTTTTTGAAAACAAGAGCACATTACTGCCCTTGAGTGCCGACCATTGAGAAAAGATTGGGATAAGAAAAAGGAATCACTTTAAACACTTTCCAGTCTTCCAAAGTGATAGTATGTGAACTTCAGTACAGTACAGCTATTGGGATTTAATAAATTATTTTAATTTCATAGTCCTGTGCTATTCAGAATTGGTTTTGGATGTGTGACTATTGAGCAGTAGGAGAATTTACAGAAGAATTTCACCCTTGCTGTAAATTAGTGAGGACTAATGGACAGATCTGGACAATTTTTTCATTTTAAATAATTTAAGTAGTTTCAATCTTTAATAATAGATAATTCTAGCTGGTCATATGAGGCAGAAAGCAAACATTTTCTTTTTTCTTGGGAGATTATTTTTTATTTAGCTAGACTTGCCTTTTGGCTTTTTGCCATGCTGCCTAGTGTGAGGCATTCAGAAATGTCCCCAAAATTCACTGTGTATCATTTTGAATGTTTATCATATAACAACATTGGGTTTTTAAAGACTTTATCATGTATCTTAAATCAGCAGTACATCTGGAGAAATTAATAAAAACTGCACTTGCAAAATATCTGATAATATTTCATCATTTAAAATTGTGAGTTACTATAAAATCATAGATTCATAGAATGGTTTGGGTTGGAAGGGACTTTAAAGATCATCTAGTTCCAACCCCCCTGCCACGGGCAGGGACACCTTACACTAGAGCAGATTGCTCCGAGGCTCATCCAGCCTGGCCTTGAACACTTCCAGGGATGGGGCATCCACAGCTTCTCTGGGCAACCTGTGCCAGTGCCTCCCCACCCTCTCCAGGAGGAATTTCTTCCCGATACCTAGTTTAAATCTCCCCGCTTTCAATTTAAACCCGTTACCCCTTGTCCTGTCACTACAGGCCCTTGTAAAAAGTCCCCCCCAGCTTCCTTGTAGCCCCTTCAGGTACTGGAAGGCTGCAATAAGGTCTCCCCGGAGCCTTCTCTTCTCCAGGCTGAACAAGCCCAACTCTCTCAGCCTTTCATCATAGCAGAGGGGCTCCAGCCCTCTGAGCATCTTCGTGGCCTCCTCTGGACTTGCTCCAACTGGTCAGTATCCTTCTTATGTTGAGGTCTCCACAGCTGGACGCAGCACTCCAGGTGGGGTGAGTCAGTGGTCTCTATATGAAAAATCCCATGCAGATAATTCAATTTTAAACCAAAACCAGACAAGAATATTCTAACTGGCCTTGATATTAAAATACATATTTTGCCAGTTGTCTTCTTTCTTTTTAAAAAGTTACAGTGTGGTTTAGTTTTTAATCTTTATTTTCTCACCTTCTTATCGTTTCTCACCTCTGGTGAGCCAGAACTTCTCAGTTCTTAGACTAAAGCAAATTTCTACACTGTCTGGAATCTCACTCTCAGTAGTGGCAAGACCCATACATAGTTGTAGACAGATGAAAATACAGATATTTGAGTAGATTTCCAGCTGGGAAACCATCTTAGTTTTCTCCAGATTCAACATGACACTCCAAAAATGTGAAAAACCCTACCTTCCTTCTCCAGGTACACCAGCTCACAGCGCCATGAGAACTTTACACATGTAGGTATTGGCTCTAATCTTGTCTTGGTAGCAAAGGGGTGTTTGCATCAAGAAACTTCCATGGATAGGGGACTGACTTTGGGATGGATGCATTCAACATGAGGTTCACCCATAGGCAGCCAGAGTTCTTCCCTCAGAACCATCAGTCTCCTGTTGAAGGTTGATGGAGGAGACAGAGTGAATGGATCCCATAGGTTGGTTTCATACCAGGAATGTGTTAAGTCAATCTTCCCATTTTAGAAAGAAATAAGTACTCTCTCAAAGAAAGAAGTAGTTCATATGCACAATCCATCTCAGATATGTTCCTCTGGTGAAACTGTCTGATGCAGACCTCGCTTTGTGTTCCTTTAGGTTCTCATTGATTATCTCCATCTCTTACACATTACTGCTCCAATGGATTGTAGGAAGTGAGTTTATTTTTTCTACTCATTAGACTGACCTTTTTTGTTCCTCAAGTCTGTCTCAGCCCTTGACAACTGCCAGGCTGTTGGTTATTACATCGATCCGTAAAAGTAAGCCTTTTAGTGGCCTCAAACAGAGTGGGGAAGGGTTCAGATCCTTCTAGTGTATTTTTTCCCCTCAGGCACTATAGAGAATAGCTCAGACTTCTGTCTAAAGTTATATCAAGATTTTGCATTACCTAGAAAAGAAACAGTGTACGTCAAACAGCTCGTATTGCTGGGATCTGGGGAAATGTCCATACCTGATTATATACAATCTGCCATTGGATTGTTAATGTATCTCCTGCCTGTTTGGTTAGACACCTGCCACCAGACCTCTTCATTACTGAAGTATGTTTGTTTGGAAATCTTTTTTAATATAGATTGCAGAGGGATACTCAGTGCTCCATCTACATTTTTACCAAATTAAGATTCAGTGGTGATTGTTACTGAATGAAAACCCCAAGGTATGCTTGTCTGTCAGGATAGAGAGTTGTGTCATTGGAGTCATGACGCTTGAATATTCATGGAAGTAACG